TTTACAGCATGTGTGAGAGAGGGGAACATGTCCTGGAGGGGAGCGGCAACCAGACATCACTGAAATCCCTACTTGCTCAGAGACATAATGATTTTGCATGGTTCATTAGACATTTGTATTCAAATCATTGCTCCAGCTTCTCTCCAATTCAGCGGTTTCACCTACAAATTATATCATGACAGCCTAGAAATCCAATCCCATGCCCTCTGAACCAGGCTGACATTTTAGTGGACTTGATGGATGAAAGTCTTCCTGGCTTTTATATTTTGTTGATAGCCCTTTTTATGCTAAGATACATTTCTCCTATTCCTAATTTCTTTAGAGATTTTTAGGCACAAAAGTTTGCTGAATTTTTTTCCCCAATGTTCTTTATTTTTCCTATTCTGCTTGACCATTGTGCTGTGACCCAGTGTATACAGTCACAGGATTGTAATGTGGAGAGAGAAAGCAGGCAGTAATTGTGAAGAAAGATTCCAACAGGACTCATAAGGGAGATGATAATAAAAAGTAATGACTTGAAAAGAAATGTACTGATTACCTTGCTCATGTAACTGTAACCCCTCTGTACAGTATTTTCACAAAAAAAACTTATTAAAAAAGATAAAAAGTAATGACTTTATGAACTTAGGCTCAAATAAACTAAAGAATAGCAACATCCTACAAATAGAATATTTAACAGTCATCTAAGACATTATTCTAGGAGAAATATTTTCTATGTATTGTATTTAGTTATATCAAAATAAACATCCTGAGCTTCATTCTCAAGTATAGATCAACTTAGTCATTGTGACTTGCTTCCCTGTTTTGCAGCAGGGGAATCCGCTGTAGTCTCCAAAGGCAGTGTGGATGGGGAGAAAAGCAGGGGGCATGGCCTAGAGGCCAGAGTCCTCGGTCCATAGTCCTCAGAGACTCAGGTGACAATGAAGACATAATCCAAACAAAGATAACTTGATTAACCAAGTCTTAACTCCAAGAAACAGGCTAATCGATTTAAGAATGGAACACTTCCTGAAAAGGAGTTGCCCTCCCAAGGAGAAATCCACCTAAAATTCACCACCATTGACTTCAAAGTACACGATGCGTTTTAACCGAAATGACTGGATGTATTTGAAATAGGTAAATGTTACCCTTCACAAGGTCATTCTCGATAAAAGTGGAATCAAAAAGTAAAAATTCTTCTACAATAATAGGTAAGTTGTATTTGTTTCCTCAGATTATGTTACTAAAGACTTTTTTTTTGTTGGTCATGGAGGCTGAATTCCTGGTCTGGGCACTGTCCCTCAGCTTTTCAGCTCAAGGCTAGTGCCCTACCACTTGAGACAAACTGCCACTTTTGGCTTTTATCTGCTTATGTGGTGCTGAGGAATTGAACCCTGTGCCTCATGCATGCGAGGCAAGCGCTCTACCACTGAGCCACCTCCCCAACCACTGTTTTGGTGTTTTTTATTTTAGTCCTGGGGCTTGAATTCTAAGCCTGAGAACTGTCCTTAAGCTTCTTTTGCTCAAGGCTAGCACTCTACCACTTGAGCCATAGCACTGCTTCCAGCCTTTTCTGTTTACATGGTGTTGAGGATTGAACCCAGGGCTTCATGCATGGTAGGCAGAGCTCTCCAGTTAAGCCACATTCCCAGCACTAAAGTCTATTTTTAATCTTAAAGCCATAAATGAAAATACTTTCAGCCACGTTCATTTAGGCAGTGAACCTTCCAAATTTAAGTACTTTGCTTATAAAATCATTTGTTTCCTGCTTTATAATGATAGTAACAATACACAGTGTTGTGTTTTTTTTCAATTGTGGTTGACTATTTATTAAGTATTGTGTTAATATGAATGGGAATATCTAATTCCAAATAACATTTCCTACTGCAGCTTTTATGAAATCTGTATCATTTCCATCCGGAATATGTACTGTATAACTACACTGCTGAGCTGGAATTCAGCATAGTCACATGTTGGCTTCAAACGGGGGCAAGTCACCGAATTTCTCCATGCTCAAGGCTTATCATGGGGACTACGGAAGTAAGAACAGTATTTCTTTCAGAGTGAATTAGTTTTGATGGTAGAAATAAAATTGCTAACACAGTGTCTTGAATGTACGAGATGTTTACGGTAGTTCCACTAGTCAGAACTAGTGAAGCTCCTTTACAGCTATGCTTGTCTCTGCTGAGGCAGACAAAGCAATAATGGTAAAGAATCATTAATGAAGAAAAATACTTTTCTGTTAAGAAACTGAAGTTTTCTCTGAAATAAACTAAATTTTCCATGTAAGAACAGCCAAAGTACTATTAAATGTTAATGGAGAAATTAGACTGAGTTCAGGAAAGAAAATGAATCAATAATGATATTTCTAAGGATATGCAATATTAATGATATGAAATGGATTTAAAATTGTATTTGCTTCCATTTATATTGCAAATATACTTTTCTTATGACCTGAAAATAACTCTACATACCTACAGAAATGAAAACAAAAGGAGCCCAGAAATTTAGGATAGTTGTATCCCTCTGTAATGTCTGTTGATTTTAGTCTACCAGTGTAGAGTAAGCTCTTTACATTCATCTCAGTGTTTCTGTCAAAACATTGCCTATACATTCTCTCCTATTTGTAATTAAGAAAAAATTACACCAAGACAAGAAAAAGGTAAAGGATAAAAACAGCCAAGACTGAAATAATAATGGCAATTCTAATAAGTATAATCATGGAAAACAATGCTTCCCAAGCCTACAAATACCCATTTTTTGTGAGACAACATTGATTATGCTACTCATTTCTCAAGGTGATTTACTGAAAAAAACATAAATCATTCTAAATGTTTAGAAATAAGAAAAATTAAGACTGACATTAATGGCCCTTTCTTATAATCCTAGGTACACGAAAGTACCTAGGTGAATATCCAGGTTTGGAGACAGATAGGGCAAACTAATTAACCAGATAACAACCTGAAGTGAAGGTGTGGCTCAAGAAATATAGTGCCAGGCTTTGAGTTCAAGCCAGAGTATTGGCATTATCTCTCTCTCTCTATTATATATAGAACTTACATAACTTATATATCATTTATTATGTGTATTATATAATTTATAATGCATTATAAATTTATATAATATATAATACATATAATACTATGTATTATAGATATGATATACTGTATGTAGTATATCATTTATTGCATATATTATATTGTATGTACTATATGTTTTAATAATATAGAATATATTATATACTAATTATACATGTTACATATTATATGATATATAAATGAAATATAATGGTATATTGTAGATTACATAATATATAAATAATATATTGTATATTATATATTTAATATGCATGTAAATATGGGAAGTAGAAAAATAAACTCAACTGTGAAGCCTAGCCACTCAGAAAATGGGAGAGCTTTGTCTTGCCAATATTCAGTCAAATATTTACAAACCATGCACCTGCAATGGTATCTTACTAGTTACTGGAATAGAATAAGAAGTCTTATTGTTTTTATTTTGAGTGTATTTACTTTCTTAACAGTAAAATTAATATGTCTGTCATATCTTAAGATTTAACCAATTCTTACATTAGCTGTAATTTTTAAGCAAAAGTCCAACACTAAGAATTCTGTGTCATTTTTCTCTATAGAATAGTGTATATGGGGTAGAATATTTGTAACTCACCGACTTTAAACACCCTTAAGATTAGCAAAGACAGTAACTGAGATCATATATTTTATCTGATAATAGTACTGTTGCTATTTAAATCACTGTGATCAATAACAAACTCTAAATTATATATTGATTTACTGTCTTATTCAGCAGGTCATCTCTGGGTTACCTAAATTCAATTTCAAAATTTTATAGTTGTTTTTCCAAAGGAACAATTAATGGAGGGAGAAAAACTTGTATGTAAGCTTGCATGTATGTATGTTTATATGTGTCAATTTATTTCTTTATATTTTTATCTATAGGCAAGATATTATGTAAAAGTTTTAGAAGATATAAAATAAGAAACATTATTATAAAAATCTATGGTAGACAAAAGTAAATTTCACATTTGGCAGGTGTCCTGACCAAGCTTGATGAACAAATTCTCTTAAATTCAAATTATATTCTACTTTCTGTTATTTAACTTTATAAAGTTCTTAACATTTCTGAAGATGTCTTCAAAGACTAGACTAAAATTCAGAATATAAGTAGAGTTGTAGAAGATTATTGGTGGACTTGATACAGTTACAAGCATATTATCTTCTTTATAGAAATATATAATAAAATCTTTACTTAATTCTCATTCTGATCTTCCAGTGACCATATGGTTTAAATATGATGGATACTTTTAATTTATATATGTATAATTTATTAAATAGAATATATCTGTATTGGAAACAAGATAATATTCACATTTTTTCAGTGTCTAAGTCTCTTTCTGAAGAAAGTAAGTGGCACACATTTCTGGAACTGGGCAATGCAGGCATACTGTATGAACAGTGAAGTAATTATCTGAGTATATATCACAGGAAATACATTGAACAAAATATAAATTACAACAAAAGTATAAACGACAATGAAAACAACCAGTTGTGCTTGGATTATGATAGTGCATCATTTCTCATTATAGACTGTCATGCAATGACAGGAACAGTAAGCAGTTGTGCTATGCTTAGACCAAACTACTTGATAGGAGTTGGTTCTTATTTTGGTGCTGTCAATTGTCCTGGTTTGTTCACACACACACATTCACACACACACACACACACACACACACACACACACACATTCACACACACACATATCAACACATTTCACTGTGAGACAATACAATAGATTTTAAGATGACTTTCTTTTGAACATCCTAGGAATTTACACTATTTAATCTGAAATGAAACACAAAAAATATAAAAGAAGCCTGGAACATCTGCGCTGTGTCAGAGACTTGGACATCACCAAGGCATCCCATTTTTCAAGTGAATCCAAAGAATCAAAATTGCTTCTAAATCTTGGAATTGCTTTGTTGGTAGATGGAGTCTACAGGAAATAATCCCCCTGGGCAGAATCAGACATCCTTGGTGGAATTCATTTTACTTGGCTTTTCTGATGTTCACGATTTTCAAGGGTTTCTTTTTGGGGTCTTTTTGATCATCTACATCATTATTCTGCTAGGAAATAGCCTCATCATCATAATAACCAAGGCTGATCCTTCCCTTCAGACACCCATGTACTTTTTTCTTGGAAACTTTTCCTTCTCGGAGATATGTTACATGTCAGTCGTCATCCCCAGACTTTTACGAGATCTCTGTAGACAAGATAGAAGCATTTCCTTAATGGCCTGTGCTACACAAATGTATTTCTTTTTAATTCTGGGAGTAACAGAATGTTTCATTCTAACTGCAATGGCTTATGACAGGTATGTCGCCATTTGCAACCCACTGCTCTACCCTCTCATCATGAACAGCAGACTGTGCCTCCAACTGGCTGTGGGCTGTTGGACCAGTGGAGTTCCAGTACATATCGGTTTCACTTACTGGATATTCTCTCTACCTTTCTGTGGACATAAACAGTTGAATCACTTTTTCTGTGACATACCTCCAGTCTTGGCTCTAGTATGTGGGAATACATTTATGATTGAGATGGTGATTTATGTAATTGCTCTCATAGTTGTCACTATTCCCTTTATGTTGATACTTGGCTCTTATCTGAAAATAATCTTGACCATTGTGAAGCTGCCTTCTGCCAGTGGGAGAGCCAAGGCCTTCTCTACCTGTTCTTCCCACCTCATGGTTGTGGCTTTATTCTTTGGCTCAGGCATGGTAACTTATTTGAGACCCAAGTCCAGTCATTCTCCAAGAATGGACAAATTCCTTTCTCTCTTTTATACCATTGTGACTCCCATGTTTAATCCCATGATATATTGCTTGCGAAACAAAGATGTGATGGTGGCATTGAAAAAATTCCTCCTGAAATGGATTGTGTTATGATTTAACACACGTGACTTTTGCAATAGTATTTTCTTGTTTGTCTCAGTCTCCATAATTTAGTTTTTCTGCTTAGTCAAGATTGTTAGAACTTTGACATTCAGAGTGCATACTTTCATATATTTTTTCAGTACAAGACAACCTTTGATTATTTAATTTTTTAAATATATATTTCTTGTAAAAATGTTGTACAGAGGGGTTACAGTTACATGAGTAGGGTAATGAGTACATTTCTTAGTGAGCATTGATGTCCTGTTCATCTTGTTGTCACAATGGGTCAGCCTGCATCCCCATTTAAACTTTCTGCAATATCCCTTTCCCTCCCCAAATTACAAAAATGTAAGTACAAGATGCAGAACACCAGCATCAAATCCAGTAAAAACAGTGGTTATACCGTAGAGGAAAAACATACAAAAGAAACAAAAGAATTACATACTGTATTGCAAGTATATTAAAAACACTAGCAAGAAAGAAAAAAAAAAACACTTGTGTCCCTGTCTTGAAGTACATTTTGTTTAACATTATCTCATGTGGTCATATGTTCATAGCCTTTGACCTACTCTGCTTATCCTAACTTGTACTAGTCAATGAAAACAAGGGAAACCATGGGACACATGTTTTTGGGGCCTAGCTCCCTTCATTTAATATTTTTTCCAAGTCTTTTTCCAAGTCCATTTCTAACAAATGAGGTAATGTCATTGTTTCTGATGGAGGCATAGAATTCCACTGTGTGTGTGTATACATACATATGTATACATGTATATATATATAGATATAGATATCACATTTTCTTGATCCATTCATCTACTGAGGGGCAACTGGGTTGGTTCCATATATTAGCTATGCTAAATAATTCAGCGATAAACATGGTTGTGCTGGTAGCTTTGGTATGAACTTGTTTGTGATTGTTTTGGTAAATGCCCAAAAGTGGTTGCTGGGTCATAGGGGAGCTCTATGTGGAGTCTTTTGAGGATTCTCCATACTACTTTCCAAAGTGGTTGAACAAGTTTACACTCTCACCAACAATGCAGTAGGGGTCCCTTTTGGCCACATCCTCTCCAGCATCTGTTGTTACTAGATTTCTTGATTATAGCCATTCTAACTGGGATGAGGTGGAATCTCAGCATTGTCTTGATTTGCATTTCTTTTATGGCTAGAAAGGTTGAGCATTTCTTCATGTGTCTATTGGCCATTCTTATTTTCTCTTCAGAGAAGTGTCTCTTTAAGTCTTTAGCCCATTTATTAATTGGACAGTTGTTTCTTTGAGAATTTGTTGTTGGGGATTTAGTTTTATGAGTTCTAAGTATATTTTAGATATGAAACCCTTGTCCATTTTGTGGCTAATGAAAATCTTCTCCCAGTCTGAAGGCTTTCTGTTGATCTTGCTAGCCATGTCCTTTGCCTTGCAGAAGCTCTGCAATTTCATGCAATCCCATTTGTCCAACCTTTCTTTGATTTGTTGTTTCTGAGTCTCTCTATTAAGAAAATTGTGGCCTGTGTCTAGGAACTCTAGATTATCTCCTATTCCTTCCTGTAATGTTTTTGTGGAGTTTGCTTTTATTTCAAAGTCTTTGACCCATTTGGAGTTGATTATGGTGCAGGGTGATATATATGGACCTAGCTTTAGTTTTCTAAAAGTGTTTAACCAATTTTGCTAGCGCCATTTACTGAAAAGGCTATCTTTCTTCCATTCTATTTCTTTAGCTCCCTTGTCAAAGATTAGGTGGCTATAGGTCTGTGGGGTCATTTCTAGGTCTTCAGTCTTCTTCAATTGGTCCTCAGGTCTGTTCTTGTGCCAGTACCAAGCTGTTTTGATTACTATGGCTTTGAAATTTGGAAGAGTTTGGAATTTGGAATTGATATCCCTCCAGCACTGTTCTTTCTACTAAGGAATGTTTTTGCTATTTGGGGTCTTTTATTATTCCATATGAAGTTTTGGATTGCTTCTTCTATTTCATTGAAGAATGAGGTTGGGATATTGATAGGTATTGCATTGAGTTTGTAGATAGCCTTTGGCAGTATTGCTATTTTCACGATGTTAATCCTCCCATGTTGATAATATTCTGAAAAAAAAGTCCAAACAGTGAAAGAAATCACATTGCAATCGTCTGTGAGTGTGCACTTATAATCTTCTCAGCAAATGCTCAATGTACAATATTAGTAATGCAGTATAATTATATTATTTTAATTAAGACTACAGATTTATTCAGTCTAAAAGGTGAGATTTTTACATATTCCCCAAGATCCCTTCATCTCTTCAATCTCAGTCGCTGGTAACTAAAGCATGGGCAAAAAGAAATATGTCTGGATTAGAGACAGTCCTGACTAGTGTTTTATTTTCATCCACGGTTGGAGGGAAATTGAGAGAGAGAATCCCTTCCTAAATTACAAAAATAATGGTCATTTCCCTTTCATTTTTACCCCTACCTACATACACGTAAGAATATCTCTGCAGCAAAAGCCAGTTTCCCATGGTATCCTCCTCATGGCTGGTAAATAAGTGCCTACACAGCTACCAACTTGGCGATTGAGGCCATGCCCTTGTTGTGCATTCTCAAACACCCTACAGCATTATATTTTGCCACCTTAAGTCCCACCACTAAAGATTAGTTTTTAGGGGCATTAAGAGCTTAATAATGTTTTCTATTTTTTACTATTGAATACTAATAATAACAGAGACAATATTGTGATATATCTATCAATTCATATAGCATATTTAGATTAAATTTACTGCCTCTATTATCTCCACTCCCCTGTTTTGAAACAATTTTATTTTATCCTAGTACTGGGGACATTTGGAATTAGGGCCTGGAGGATGCTTTGGAGCTTTTTGACTCAAAAATAGGCCTCCACCATATGACCACAGCTCCACTTCTGGGGTTTTACTCATTCATTTGCAATAAGTGTGTCATGGATTATCCTACTTGGGGCAGAACTATGATCTGAAGATCTTGGTAGCTAGAATTGCAAGCATGAGCCTGGTTTTAAAACAACTTTAGTGGGAGAGGGTTCCGGGAAGATGGCGGAGGAGAAGCTGGAATCTGAACAAGCTCTTGCATAGAAAACAGTTTCAGAGTTCCAGTGAACAGTCCCAAGCCAGAGAATCACACCAAGTGTGCCATCACAGGACAGAGAGTTAGCCAAGAGAGGGGAAGCCAAGCAGACACATCTGAGCGTCTGCCAGCAGCTGCTGCGGCGGCGGCAGGGTCGCAGCGGCGACCGCAGCCGCGGCCATACCTGAGCGCTCACACAGAGAGTCCGGGACGAAGGAGCCAGACGCAGCAGGCGAGCGGATTCTACTCAACACCAGCAAGAACCGACAAGGAGCGGACAACTTCATCCTGCACTTTGCAGACCAGAGACGACCCAGGATCCAAGACTCGGCGTGAGTAGCCCCACTTCCTCACTCCTTCCCAGGGAGCAGAGGAGGGAAGGCCTCCCCTCCCCCCCCCCAGCACCGGTGATCTCCATCTTGGATACCGACAAAGCTCGGAGGAGCGGCTAGCTCCAGCTCAGGCCTTGGAATAAAACGAGTCATTTAGCAGGTCACAAGAACTTAACGGCGAAGTGACCTCACAGACTCAGTTCCATCCAGGGAAAAGTCACCCAGCTCAGGCGCCAGCCATTGGAGTGGCTCTCCTCACCGGGTAACCAGAGCCAGAGGCTGCCCCTCCCTCTAGCAGCCACCACAATCAATTGAAAAACAGAAACCCTGAGAATGGCTCCAGGCTGGGTGCTGTGAGTTTTTTTCACAAAATAGCCCCAGGGAAAAGCTACTGTTTGTTGAAAGGCCTCAACTCTACCCAGAACCTAGCCTCATCACTGCATCCCCCTCTTTTGTGATTCTCAAAGCAGATCACCCTCCCAGTAAACTAACCTGGGAGGGGGAATCTCAAAATCTTGGGTAAAGCAGAGCATTTTTCTGCCTGTTCCAACAAACTGACTCAAGAAACCAATCAAGTCTAGGCTTCTAACTGTGATCTTCAGATAAGACTCACCTGGTACCAGTGGCTCACACCTATAATCCTAGCTACTCAGGAAGCTGAGATCTTAGGAGGAAGATTCATAGCCAGCCTGTGCAAACAAGTCAAGAGACTCTTACTTCCATTTACCAGTAAAAAGCCAGGAATGAATGTGTGGCTGAAGTAGAGTGACAACCTTGAGTGGAAAAACTAAACAAGAGCATGAGGCCCTGAGTTCAACTCCCAGTATTAAAAAACAACAAAAAAATAAAAATAAAAAGGATTCTTTAAGCTGTAAGTCTACAGCAGAAATTACCAAGCTACTGGTCTTCAGGCCAATATAGCCAAGCACCTTTTTCATATGACCTACAAGCTAACTTGTACAAATTAAGTATATTTCTTTTTGGGTTTGTTTTTTTTTGTGCTGGTCCTGGGACTTGACCTCAGGGCCTGAGTGCTGTCCTTGAGCTTTTTCACGCAAGGCCAGAGTTCTACCACTTGAGCCACATTTCTTCCATAGCTCCACTTCCAGGTTTTTGGTGTAATTAGAGATAAGAGCCTTATGGATTTTCCTTCCTGGGATGGCTTTGAACCATGATCCTCAGATCGCAGCCTCCTGAGTAGCTAGGATTACAGACATAAGCCACTGACTCCCAACTAAAATTAAGTATTAATGAAAATTATATACAATTTCAATCTCAGTGTCCATAAAGTTTTATTGAAATACATCTATGTACACTCATCAGATATTATCTGTGGCTTTTTCTGTGCTAAATAGGGATTGGATGTCTAAAATATTTTCTATCTGGGCTTTTACAGAATAAAATAATGCTGACCCCTGCAACCATTTAGTTGGTGATTTTAAACATTAAAAGAAATTAGCTAAGGGGCTGGGAAGGTGGCTCAGTGGTAGAGTGCTTGCCTTGCATGCATGAGGCCCTGGGTTCGATTCCTCAGCACCACATAAACTGAAAAAGCCGGAAGTGGTGCTGTGGCTCAAGTAGTAGAGTGCTAGCCTTGAGCTGAAGAGCTAAGGGACAG